CTCTGGACTAAATGATGAAACTTACGGCTACAAAGACGGCAAACCATGCGTCATCATAAAGCTCAACCGAGTTCTGGGCTTCAAACCTAAGGCAAGTCCCCTTGCAGAGCCTGGCATGTGGATGAGCCGTTCACGGTTGGACGTAGCACTTCATTGGTATGAGAAGAGAATGTAAGGGACTTTGAAAGGATACTCAGTGACAGTGTTGAAGCCACTCAGTGGAGTAACACTGCAGACTTCTGTAGCCACCTTGAAATTCTTAGAGTCAGGTTATTAATCTCATCTCCTAAAGTTAGAGAAATTCTAAGTGGCAAAGCCAAATTCTGAAGTTCTGTGACCCTGTTCTTCATACTTCTTTAACATTATTCTACAATGTAAAGTTTTTACAAGTAAAAATAGAAAAGAAGTATCTTTAAATTTAAAAGCTACCTGCATGTTACAGTCATATTCTAGTTTTGGTACGCTTAGAACCAGAGTACTAAAAAAAAAATTCTCTGGTAGTCTGAAAAAATGGTGCTTTTTTTCCTGAATGAAGTTTTCATTGTCAGATTAAAAGTTGCATACGGTCTAGGTTGAACTTTGATAACCATGCTGTTGGCTTTTGCTATTATTGCAACTTATAATGGGTAAATATTACTTGAAATCACCAAAAAATGGCAAATTGCCTTTGCTCAGCATTTGGTGAGATGATAGTAACTCTTTAAAGGAAGGAGACATGTATTGGTGTTATCTCTGCTTTTATAAAACCACTTATTTCATTCTCTCCCCCCAGATCATGAATAAATAATGCCGTCCTCTCCCCTTAAGCATGGATTCTTCCAGAAGGTTTCCGCTAATTGCTCATGTGAGCATTGCCATTAAGAGTGTAGCTTATAGTTCTGATAGGAATTGAGTGCAGGATACACAGTTACATGAACAAACTTCCTTCCTTTCTGGACTTTGACTCTTTTGTTCATTAATTTTTGATTATCTGCAATCAGTTTATTTCCACAATGCTTGTCACCTGTAAATAATATTTTCAAGAGAAAAATCAGTGTAGAGATGAAAAGTTTTATTAGCGTTAACTGAAGGATGTGTTAGAACTCCTTTACTGCCACCAGAGGCAAAGATGGATGAGTGGGTGGATGGATGCTTGCCTGGCTGTCTTGATGGATCTCCTACAGAAATGAATGTACCTCTTAACAGAATTTTAATCTTCTTTCCACTTAGGCTAGGATATAATGGAAGAAAAATGGTGAAACCATTATGTCACACTTAGAGTTGATATTCATACGGCTAGGAAACTCTTCATCAAGATAAACCAGCTATAAACCAGCGAAAGGCATTGGTGTGGTGTCTCCAAGGGAGGGCTAATCCTGATCCTTGTTCTCTGAACCCCTCACTTTTCATTATTCCTTTTCATAGACATTGAGTAATTTTTGTCCGCCACAGAGGCAGTCCATCTAGTCTACTGTGACTCACTTTTCTTTCTATATCTATAAAGATATTCTGTTAAAGTAATGAATTCAGCTATTCTTTCTTCTCAATCCGTTTTTCTTTGAACTCCCCTTGGTTATCCATTGCTATATTCTGATTTGCCACCCCACCCCAAATCCCCAGCTCTTTTGTTGTCAGAATTATTTTTGTCACAGATGGTGGTACCCCAGCATCTCCCTTGATGTGCCCATTTCCTCACCCGCTGAAGACAGATTCTGGCCACTTCTTTATCAATAAGCATTTTCTCTTCATATTTTTAAAGATAAATCTATTGCTGGCAGAAAGTTTCAAGAGAGTCAAATCTAGATAATCATTTTCTTATATTCCAAAACAAGAGTACCACCAAAAATATTTGTTCTTTACTGGTACAGAGAATTGCCCATTTTATCTGACCTCGATTAGACTATGCGCGTGTTACGTCTCATGTCAGGACTCACATGCTATGCTGGAGTGAGTAAGTAAGGGGCTGTCTTCCAGGAGTAGGTGTCCATCACACTTTTTTTGAGGTGGATTTGAACTAGGGCTGTAGGAAGGCAGGTTCTGGATATTTCACTACAGCAGTAATTTTCAAAGTTTACTCTGGGTCCCTTTAATGGATTCACCCCTTCACAACACCCTTTCCTTTAGGGCTAGGCCACTTTTATCTGTTTTACATACTGGTCTTTCCTAACAAAACTGGAACTTAAATGGCAGTGCCTCCACTGGAGATTAAAAAAAAAAAAAAAGAGTGAAAGAAAAGCTTACTTGAGGGAGAAGGATGGCATTATTTATTCATGGCTCAGGAGGAAAACCCAAATTTTATAAAAACAAATGTCAACCAGCTTTTCCAACTAATTATTATAATCTTAGCAAAGGAGGAGCATTATTTCTGAGTTGGCTCTTATTATTCGGTGTCCTTGAATGAGGCTTGTAATGAGTCACCACTGGAAGCTCCTTTTAGTGCTAGGCTGCATCACTACTCAAGCGTAGTGGTCGTGAAACGTGGACACTTGTTTTTATTTCAAGAAAATCTCAACATGCCCTTTCGTGGATTGGTCAGGAGACTCGTGCGTTCTGCTGTCCTCAAGTGTCTTACGATTTCAGTTGACTTCTTGTGACCAGTGTGTGCTTGCTGGTGCTATAAACTAGTTTTATTTTTTTCAGAATTTACAAACTTACTGACCAACGTGGGTTTTATTTTTAGCCTCCCAAGAATGAGTCCTTGGACATGTACCCAGTGATGAAGTACAGCCCGTATGTTCTGCCTGTTCAGTGCACTGGCAGGGTAAGGAGACCTTGAGCAGGCGGGTGGGGCAGGAGAGGAGGGGAGGATGAATGAGTTTAAGTCAGAGGTAAGATTTCAATGTGGGAAATAAGAAAACACTGCTCCCAGGAATCAGTCGGTTGAGTTGTACTCTACTGGGTACAGGAAGATGTGACAAGAATAAGACCATTTGTTGATTTTTCCACTGGAAAAATCTGGAACTAGCTGCATTTAATCATTTGGTATATTGGTTTCTAGGACTGAAGGGTGAACTGCCTCACACAAGTGCTTCTCTGGCCCACATGGTGTGTAAAAAATTCAAAGCCAACATTTTTTCTTTTAATTGACAATTTCCCATTAAAAATTGTGGTTTTGGCTTTTCTTTAAGAAAAAAAAAGAACACTGAAAGATTACAGTAACCATCAGCCTACGTATGTTTCCTTTAAATCTAAAAACAGGTACCTGATGGTTTAGGGAGAGCAAAATAAAAAAAGGGGAATCCCGAAATAGTCTATTTTCTGTGGGCACCAGGAAAGGAAATGGACACAAGGAAATAAAAAGGCAAAATAGTTCAATGTTTGGAGATAGTGTCATTGAAAATATCACCCACCAGGCCGAAATGGAAGAGTTTCTGATTTTCAGTGGTGGCCCTATTTCTAGGAGGCTGTGTTGGCTTGAGGAAATGCTTAGTTGGCCTTTGCTACTGTTTCCCATTTGTACGATGAGAAGAGCCTCCTTTTATGATCGTTTCTCAAGGCGGCTGTGGATTAGAGGCGTATCCATCATTTCTTCTCGTGTTGGATGCAGAACGCTCATCCCTCGGTGGTGAATGTGCACCTCCTTCCGAGCTGGATGTGAGCCAGGCCTGTCAGGGTGGCCCGTGTCCTCCAGCAGTGGTGTGCACACTCCGCTGTGGGGCTGCGAGTCGTATGTGTACGGGGACCCCAGTAGGGAGCCAGGATGTGAGCCGCTAAAATCTCAAATCCTCTCTGGTTTCCAGCGAGACGAAGATAAGGAGAAGATCGGAACCGTGGAGTATTTCGGACTGGGCGGCTACCCCGGCTTTCCCCTGCAGTATTACCCCTACTACGGGAAGCTCCTGCAGCCCAGGTACCTGCAGCCCCTGCTGGCCGTGCAGTTCACCAACCTCACCATGGACACGGAAGTCCGCATAGAGTGTAAGGCGTACGGGGAGAACATTGGGTACAGTGAGAAGGACCGTTTCCAGGGACGCTTTGATGTAAAAATTGAAGTTAAGAGCTGATCACAAGCACAGATCTTTCCCACCAGCCATTGAAAAAAAGTTTAAAAAAAGATAAAAACAAAAACCTACTAGTCTTGAACAAACTGTCATACGTATGGGACCTACACTTAATCTATACGCTTTACACTAGCTTTCTGCATTTAATAGGTTAGAATGTAAATTTAAAGTGTAGCAATAGCAACAAAATATTTATTCTACTGTAAATGACAAAAAAAAAATAAAAATTGAGCCTTGGGACGTGCCCATTTTTACTGTAAATTATGATTCCATGACTGACTTGTAGTGAGCAGTGTTTCCGGCCCCTAAGTATTGCTGCCGTGTGTGTTTTATTTAGTGTACAGTACGACAGGTGCACACTCTGGTCATTTTTCAAGCCATGTTTTATCGTATCTTTTTTCTACTTTATGTGAGCAAGGTTTGCTGTCCAAGGTGTAAATATTCAATGGGAATAAAACTGGCATGGTACCTTTTTTTTTTTTTTTTCCTTCTTTTTGGGTTTGGCTCTTTCAAAGATAATGGCCCATCAATGAGCATTTTAAACACACTCCATAGTCTTTTCCTGTGGTGTTAGGTCTTTATTTTTATTTTTATTTTTTTCCTGGGTCTGGGCTGGGGGGGTGGGGAGGGGTGGGCTGTCATGGGGGAACTGCCCTTTACATTTTAAGTGACACTACAGAAAAACACGAAAAAGGTGATGGGTTGTGTTGTGCTTTGTACTGAATGCTGTCTTGACGTCTCTTCCCCATCCTCCAGTACGTCCTGAAGCTGTGTCTGAGATCTGGCACGCCCGTCACTCTGCCTAGTGATAGGGTGAACTTACTCGCTTTGTACATTTCCTTTCACTTTCCTTTTACTTTTTTCTTTTTCCTTTCTCTGGAGGCATCACATGCTGGTGCTGTGTCTTTATGAATGTTTTAACCATTTTCATGGTGGAAGAATTTTATATTTATGCAGTTGTACAATTTTATTTTTTTCTGCAAGAAAAAGTGTAATGTATGAAATAAAAACCAAAGTCACTTGTTTGAAAATAAATCTTTATTTTGGACTTTATAAAAAGCAATGCAGTACCCCATAGACCGGTGTTGAATGTCGTCTACAGTGCAAAAACCCGTGTTCTAACATCTGTCATAATTGCCAGGAGTACAGTGCTCTTGTTGGTCTTGTATTCAGTCAGGTTAAAACAATGGACAATAAAAGAATGAACACTCCTCATGTGCGTGATTCACTCTCGTCTCAACGCCCCAGCCTGTAACTTCCTTACTTTCTGTACTGCTAGTTATCCAAGATCTTGAAGAAATACTGAACCTGGAAGACACACGTGGGGTTGCATTAGTTTATGTGGAAGCTTGGCTTCCTCCACCCAACCGAGGCCAAGCGCTCGTCAGGACCCCGGACACGGGACACCAGGGTGCACAGCCCTCCCCAAAGAGACAGGCTCATCGGAGACAGAGACGCCTTCGCTGAAGTTTTAAAGGTCAAGTTTAGGAATATTTTGCCGTGACACTCAGTTTAGAAAACATCGAATTTTGGGTCCTGCTAGCGCTTCACTCTAGACAAGGCTATTAAAAAAAAGAAAGTCAAAGTTGTTAGTAGTTCAGTTACCAAAAACCCTCCTATGAGGTTAGGTTTGAGGTTCAGTAAATGAAGAAGGTTTATACCTTGCTTTTTGGTCCCTCGTTCGGGCCCAAGTCCTTATTTAGCCATATATTCAAAAGCCAGCCTTCGTGTGAAAGACAAACCTGAGCTTTCTGAAAAATGTTCTCCAGGTATAACTGAGCTGAAGATTTAGTATCACTTAACCAGCAGAAATACCCAGACTAAAATCATGGCATCGACTTGGGGAAAATGGAAACCTTCCACACACAGCCTGGGCTGCCACAGCTCACGCCAGCCCTTCCCGCCTTCAGGCTGGTCCTGCGACAGCCCTTTGCTATGAAGCTGAAATGCCTCTTCCGGGAGGTGGACCCGGAGGCCCACGGCCATCTCGAATTTGGCACAGCTTGTTCAGAAGTAGCAGTAACAGCTATTTACTGCCACCTTAGGGCCTCACATTTATTATCCGCTGATCTGCTCCTCTTATTTTTTCTTTAAAAATTATTACCTGAGGCTCTGCTATGTCTAGAGCAGCAAACCGTGTGGTGGCCGTTAATCCTAGAGGAACAATGAGTCCATTTAACCAAAAATAGCAAAGGCAATGGTGGAAAATGGCACAACTGCCTCGCTGCAAAGTTTGCAGGAGCCTTCCTTAACAACTGGGGAAACAGACCCAAATCCATAAACGAACAACATACCCACACAAAGCTAGGTTTCTCGGGTAACCCCCACGTGTACAGATAGAAGGTGTCATTCCTATAACAGACGTTAGTCTTGCTGAAGCATCAACACATTTTGCAGGAGTGTACGTGGGTCTTAAAACGCATGATGTTTTTGAGCAAGAAGGAGGGAATGGCTTCAGGTCTGAGGAAAAGGGGAGCATTTATTCAAATTGGAGGGTAGTTTGTATTTTGGGGACTGTTCTCAGACCACAACCTTGATCAGACACACTTAACCCACTGCTTTTGTACGAATTTGGTACCTTCTGTTCTAAGCCATGGTGTGTATGTGTGTGTGTGCACCTGTGTGTGTATGTGTGTGCTCTCTGCCTATTCCTTCAGGACTCTGCCCAGATCTTGCTTCCCTGCCACTTCTCCAGATGGTGCCACCTATGCCCCTGCCCCCCATGACAGTGGTTCTGTCTCCACTAGGAGACTGGGGAATGTGGTTTGTGTTCCTTGACTCAGCAGAAACTTGGTGGCTGCCTACTGTGTGTCAAGCATTCTTCAGACAGCTACGGATGGACCCACCAGTGGTCGCCTCCTGCTCACATTCCAGTATTAAGTACCTGCGTGTTCCAGGAACTCCTGCTTCTATACATCTAGCACGACTTTCTCTTCTCATATTATCACAATTTACTCCATCCCTTATTAGGTGACACATTTCTTGGCTGAGGGAGACTGCCATCTACTTTTGGGGTGTTCGTATCACATCCTAGAAAGGGGTTTTCATACACATCTGGCCAAATACTTAATTCTTCACACAAAAGGAATGAGTTTTTTGAAGTGTTTCTCAAAAATGCGCTGAGTACCACTTGGAATCAAAAGCTAATAGTTACTAAATAGATGAAAAAATTCCTTTTTTCCCCAATCCATCATACTCTGTGAAGGGAAGTTTCAACGTGGTGCTGGTAAGGCTTCAACCCAGGTTATTCCGCTTTCAAATAAAGGGAGATAGGCCTTGGGTTCCTAAGTTCTGGCAAGCAATGCTATCCAGCTAGAATGGAATACCTCTTGTTTTCATTGTATTTATTACCTCCAATTAAGGACAAGTAATACTAGTTTCCCGTTTCTGGCAAACTTCCATTATGGAAAATAAATGTGTTCAAGTATAACAGTGAACGGATTTAAAGAAAAATTATAAATGCAATGTCGGGCGGTACTCAGGTATGGTAAAACTCATGAAGGTAATAAATGCTAACTACAATTTAGTAACTTTGCCCACAAATGCAGCGTTAACAGAAGCCAAGATTTTCAATTCTGTACCTGTTTGGGCAAAACCTAAAGTGAACCCTGTTTTAGAACAATGGCACACCCTGTCCGCTCAAGCTGCGCTTGTTACTGGGGGGAACGGCTCCAGCTCCAAACTAAAAACAGTATCAGTGATCAGAGAAGAAAAGTCCAGTTTTTAAAATCTTCCAAAGTCCAACGACAGCTCTAACTCCTGGCTCCTTAAAGGATTAGTAACACTTCAGTATCAGTTGATGTTTGGCCCAAGGAGGAGAAACTAAGTGAGGTTACTTTCAAAATTCACGACCAAGGACCTTATGAGGACAAAGGGAAGCGATCCAGGGAGCATTTAGGAACAGTTTTAATCAAGTGAGTCAAGTGATCCGGGTTTCAAAATGCAGAGGAAATGTGCTCTCCTCTCTTCATTAAGAAGGAACTAGCACTAACCAGACATGTTATCTGCCGCCTTCTAGGCTCCGCACTGGGAAAGATGCCCAGGAAATAGAGATAAACCTATTATTCTCCTAACTGATGCGTGCAGCCGGCACCCACAGGCTCCCCAATGTGAAACAGAGAAGGTGGGAGCAAGGCAGATATTTTGGTTCGTATTTTAAGTCTGTATTTTTCTCCCAGAGACTGTCAGTATCGGTCTGCTCTGAGAGACTGGGGATTTCTTAAAGGTACTGACTCTTATAGACCACAGAATCCTGCTGTTTTGCTTCACCACCAGTGACGCCCACATCCTAAGAAAAGGCCCTTATGATAATAAAACTGTGACATACTATCCCCAGCTTGTGTCACTACGAAACCTTTAAAAACCTGAGATTTCATAAAGTCAGGACTCCTACTAGCTTTCTGTCAAGGGCTACCTTTTCCAAAGAAATGCTCATTTTCCTCCTCTAGTGTTGACCCCATACAGACCGGGTGAGAGGTAGCAGAGGGTGATCTGAAACCCGTCTATTCTGTCAGCCACAATGCCTGACGTGGTCATTACTGGATTGGTCCTTTGGTTTAAATGCTTCGGGGATCAAATATTTCCTTCCTCTGTAAGGTGGCTCTTTAATGCCCATCGCTTGTTACAGGGATTTATGGTTACTAAACTAGCAAAGTCTGGGGGAGCATGGAACAGTCCTACAGCAATGGGGTGCAGGATCCACCCTTCGGATAAGGAGCAGGGGCTTCCAGCATGACCAGTGGGTGAGGATCATGCCTTGTGGAGGTGCTGATGACTCAGCACTGGGATGAGGGAATGCTGTAAGGCCAAGAGATGCTGGAATTATAAGACCAAATACAAAACATGGCAGGAGAAGTCCATGCTGACTGAAACCTTTGCCTAGGGCTGGCCTTTCTTCTTTTCCGTTAGCAAATTTCTCCCAAGCTACCTACTCCGTGCCCAGCACTGACTAGGAACTCGGGGACGGAGGGGTTCCCTGTTCTTAAGAAAACTTTGCCTTCATACGTCGAAACGTCTTAAATAATCTAAGCTCCTCTCATCTATACTTAATTCCTTTCCCTCCTCCGGCCAATCATTTAACAAACTGAGCGCATCCCATTCATGATACTTCACTGATGGGGTCCTCAGAAAACTCACAGCCCAGAAAGAGGAAAGCCCATGTAATCAAGTAAAATCACTCTGTGTGCTAAGGTGTAAGTGGGAATACTTAATTGCCAGTGGGAACACAAAACATTTCATAAAGGGGTTACTGTTTAACTTGAGTTTTTAGGACAAGTTAGACGGGACGCAGACAAAGGAATAGCTGAAATATACGGCTGCCATGCCAATGCATAATGATGCTTTACCAGTAAGATTGACTCGAGGACTTGTCCTGTCTTGCTCTGTCCCTGTTAGATTTAAGTAAGACATAGCTTGCATTTATCAACTACTTCACAGTGTACAATCTAATTTCATATATAAACCTCGTCTTCCTTGCAACAGCTCTGTGGAGCTGGTCCCTTTATCTCAACAGAGAGCAGGATCCTGAGACTCAGAGGTCCTGTGACGTTCCTATGTAAGAAACTGGGGAGCTTGCTAAGTTAGCTGGGCTGGGACTTGAATCTCTATCTTCCAACCCTAAGCCACCCTGGCTCTGTGACTTTCCATGGAGAAACCCCACATTTGCTGATGACTGTATATAAATTACTGCAAGTTCTGTAACCATGTAATTCAAACAAAGGTAAATTTTATGCAATTGCTTCAGGTGTAGACTCAAGAAAAGCTTCCAGAGAATGTCTCACCTTTGCCCGAAGTACACTGCATGGCAAAAATGGGTCCCACTACTCGTGATTCTTGCCTGCGTCCACTACTCTCCCCATGGAACGTCTAGCATATGGAGCTTGCATGAAATCCCCTTGCACGTGTTATTAACTCTGGCTTTGGATCAGAGTTTCTGGCATTGCTCACTGCCCTGATGCCTTGAGCTCCACCACAGACAGCTGAATCCAACACTTGGGAGGTGAAGGGCAGGCACCTATTTTCCCGTGGTTCTTAATGTTGAATAAGTAACAAAAATATTTGGGGATTTTTTTTTTCTCCTTTGAAATCAGAGTATAGATGTGTGTGAATATTTACAGGATTTATCTATCCTACTGTTGTGGACTTCCATCACCAAATTAGAACATGCATACCTGTGCCATTACACTAGCTAGATATTCAGATAAAACCCAGTCAATCTGAATTTGGCTGAGCTACAATTTTGTTAGTGTTCCAATGATATGATATTGAATTTTAAATATATCAGCCTGTTCAGAAGAGAAACAATTTTCAACTCACTGGGGGCCCTGACAGGCAGGGGTGGCTTCATAGATGGGTAAACTGGGCCGATGCACAGGGCCACATGCTTAGGAGGACCTATGCCTGGTTGAATGTTCCATGGTCTCTCTCTTGAAATTCTTAATGATTTTTGAACAAGGGACCCCACATTCCCATCCTGTAACACTTCTGCTTGTGGCCATGGGCTTCTATGTCCAGGCTCCTTTGGCGTGGGTTTTCCTACTGGCTGAGTGGAAAATGTGGTTGAAAAGGCTGCTTGTAAAATAAGTGATGAACAGATCTCTGGTGAGAATTGGCGGCTTGGGGAAGGTGAGGGTGAGGCGTGCTATGGACAATGAGAGCTGGCCCCAGGGGCCCTGGATTAGCTGACAACACCGTGGGGCGGGGAGGGAGGAGACCACCAGGAGGCCTTTACTCAGGAGCCTGAATCATTTCTGAACTTCTCCTGCATTCCCTCTCTCTCTCTTGGTGTGGTGTCTTCCCTCTGCAGGTAAGTCACCACTTATTTTCAGCTCCCAAAATATGGAGTTCAGAAGTGGACAGTTATGAGGAAAAAAAGGTGGTAGCTAAAGTGTTCTCCAGACAGAAGGGCTCAGAGGAAACACTGAAGCTGTGACTAAAAAAAAGAGAGAGGGAAAGTCTGTCCTTGCCTACTGTCTAAGCGACAGAGCCCAGAAAGTCCTTAGATTGCAAAGGTACACCCTCAAATCTATTTATAGGCTACAGAGTAATAAAATGGAATCAACTCAGACACAAGAGCTATCTCCTTCACACACATTTATCTTCTCCACGGGTTCTGAGGCCATATTTGAAATGTTTTAAGACAAAAAGAAAATTTCACGACTATCTATTCCAGTAATTCTGGAAACCCAGCATTCTCAGAGTTCTCTTATAAAAACCTCGAGTCCTCGGACTGCCACCCATGGATGAGAATGACTGTCTTTTTAAAGTTGGACGGAAATGACTCCTCAGCCTGGAATAGAGTCGTGCTGACCTTTCTCTTTATGGGAAATATATACCTTTTTTCCCTAATATTAGCTAAAGACACAGGAGTCCTTTCAGAAATTCATTCTAAAATTGTGTTTTGTGACTCATTCTTTTTGGCCTCTTCTGCCCTGAAGGTGGTTTTGGTTGTAGCTAGTCCCTCCTCAGCCCCTCAAAAAATCTAAAAATATGAAGAGATGTTTGTTGCTTCTGTTCCCTTCTCCCCACCCCTGATGATTAGGAAAGTACTCTCTCAGAGTTACTGTATCAGTGTGAGTCATGGATGATTTTGCAGTATTTACATTTAAAATTTTACTTACTCTTAAAGAATGGAGTCCTTGTTACATATTAAATGCTTTAATAGATTATGTTGTGCAATCCTGACAATGGAAGGAGACACATTAGTCTCATTTTTCATTTGAGGAGCCCGTGGTTTTTAGTGGTAACAGCTTTCTTGGACACAGGACTCTGGTGCTGCTGATACTGGTCAGAAGCTCACACTAGGGATGGAGCCCGGCTGTTGGGGATCTTACTCCTGGCCTTGCCATTTCCTGGCTGGATGGCCTTGAGTGAGTCCCTTAACTTTTGTTTCTCATATTCCACCATCTATAACATAGTAAGACCTATCACGTAAGGTTGTTGGGAAGACTAAGTGAGTCAACATATGAAGGGCATTTAAAAGAGTGCCCAGACATACGGACCAAGGGAACAGAATAGAGAGCCCAGAAATGAACCCACAAGCTTTTGGTCAACTAATCTTTAACAAAGGAGGCAAGAATATACAATGGAATAAAGACAGTCTCTTCAGCAAATAGTGTTGGGAAAACTGGACAGCAGCATGTAAATCAGTGAAGCTAGAACTCTCCCTTACACCATACACAAAAATAAACTCAAAAAATGGATCAAAGAATTAAATGTAAACCTCCTAGAAGAAAATATAGGCAAAACATTATCTGGCATACATCTCAAAAATGTTCTCCCAGAACAGTCTACCCAAGCAATAGAAATAAAAGCAAGAATAAACAAATGGGACCTAATGAAACTTACAAGCTTCTGCACAGCAAAGGAAACCAGAAGTAAAACAAAAAGACAACCTGCGGAATGGGAGAAAATTTTTGCAAACGAAACTGACAAAGGCTTGATCTCCAGAATATATAAGCAGCTCATATGACTTAATAAGAAAGAAACAAACAACCCAATCCAAAAATGGGCAGAAGACCTAAACAAGCAATTTTCCAAGGAAGAAATACAAATGATCAATAGACACATGAAAAAATGCTCAATATCACTAATTATCAGAGAAATGCAAATCAAAACTACGATGAGGTATCACCTCACACCAGTCAGAATGGACATCATTAAAAAATCCACAAATGAGAAATGCTGGAGAGGCTGTGGAGAAAGGGGAACCCTCCTACACTGCTGGTGGGAATGCAGTTTGGTGAAGCCACTGTGGAAAACAGTATGGAGATTCCTCAAAAGACTAGGAATAGACTTACCATATGACCCAGGAATCCTGCTCCTAGGCATATATCCAGAAGGAACCCTACTCCAGAATGACACCTGCACCCCAATGTTCATAGCAGCACTATTTGCAATAGCCAAGACATGGAAACAGCCTAAATGTCCATCAACAGATGACTGGGTAAAGAAGATGTGGCATTTTTATACAATGGAATACTATTCAGCCATAAAAACTGACAACATAATGCCATTTGCAGCAACATGGATGCTCCTGGAGAATGTCATTCTAAGTGAAGTAAGCCAGAAAGAGAAAGAAAAATACCATATGAGATCACTCATATGTGGAATCTAAAAAAAACACAAAAAACAAAAAATACAAAACAGAAACAGACTCATAGACATAGAATACAAACTTGTGGTTGCCAGGGGGATGGGGAGTGAGAAGGGACTGGGATTTCAAAATGTAGAATAGATAAACAAGATTGTACTGTGTAGCACAGGGAAACATATACAGGATCTTGTGGTGGCTTGCAGCAAAAGAGAATGTGACAATGAATATATGTATGTTCACGTATAACTGAAAAATTGTGCTCTACACTGGAATTTGACACAACATTGTAAAATGACTATAACTACAATAAAAAAGTTTATATATATATATAAAAGAGCGCCCAGCAGAGAGTAAATACCACATCATAAATATCATTATTATTGGGTCTCCAAGATTCTCACAATGCTGTGGCCTGTCCTGCTGTATGTCAGTGAAGCCCTGGGTTTCTAAGCAATTCCGTCATGTCCTACGGTGAGAACCAAAACCGCCAGGGCACTTCCGGCTTATCAGAGGAGAGCCGCATAATGAACCAGGTCATGAATGACACAGGCAGACTGAGAACCTTTGCAGACAAAGACAGTGAAGAGTGAGAACCAAATACAGCATGTAATCCTTGCATGGATCCTAGACCAGAAACGTTCTGCTTGTTTGTTTTGCTACAAAATACATTTGTGAATGAAACTGCCAAGATTAAAGGTCTGTACGTAGATAGCAGTACTGTAATTTCCTGATTTCTAGTCACTGTTCTGTGGTGATGGAAGAGAATACCTGTGTTTTAGGAAATAACACACTGAAGTTTTGAGAGATAAAAGGGAATCGTATTTGTAATTTACTGTCAAAAATATGTGTAATAAATAAATTAATACACAAACATACACAAGGGGAGAGAAGAGAGGACGACTGAGTAACATAGTAAAACATTAACATTTAGGGAATGTGAATAAAAGGTTTAGAGACGTTCTTGGTCTTATTTTTTTTTCTATTTTTTTTATAAGGCTGAAATTATTTCAAAACGGTACAAATGTTAATCAGTAGAAAGGATAGCACAGTGTAGTGAGTGTGGAACTTGGACTTGGCAGAACTAAGTTTGACTCTAGCCACGATTTCCTCGTGTTCTTAGGCCAATCATGTAAACTCAGACTATTGCTAATCTAAGAACTGAGGCTAGTAAAATCCATTCATTGGGATGAATGTGTATGTAGGTTTACGCGTGAATGGATAAAGTCGCAGCACCTTGTATAAACCATACATTCTCCTAAAGCAGCTCAGGATGGGCTCTGCTACAAGTCAGTTACAGTGAGGCTGCAGGGCTCGCCTGAACCATCGGGCAAGCACAGGAGAAAACTCAGATGAATCTGACACTTCGTGTTAGAAATTCACATTTGCTGGCCCCCTATAGAAGAAAAGTTTTTGATAGGGAACATACTCTGTCCTTAATATTTTTTAAATGCCTTAAAATAAGAAAAGAAAATGTAAATATGATCATCAATTCTTGAGATGAGTGATTTTCAATCTGGCTGGATAGCAGATTGAACTTTAAGAAACAAATGGATACTTGGACCCCATTCCTGGAGAGTCTGATTCATTAGGTCTTGGGAAAGTCCTAGACACGTGTACTTTCAAATAGCGCCACAGATACTTGTGATGTTCTTAGAAACAGATGGGTAAGGCCTCATACAATGAAATGGGGAATGTGGGCAAAAAAGGAGACAGCGAAGTTCAACGGGTCATCTTGGGTATTCACGAGAAAGAATCAAAGCAGCCTGAGTGAGTTCTCTAACAATAAACAGCGACTCAGGAAAGGGATTGCATAGTGTGTCCTGATGGTCCCCTAAAGACTTGGGCCCAAGAAGCAATGCTGTCCAGGCGGCCATCACTGGAGACTGACCCCATAAAAGGATACTGGAAATTAAACTCAAGGAATTAACAAAGAAAGAGAAAGAAAGAGAAAGAGAGAAAAGAGAGAAAAGGTAGCAAGGCAGGAAGAAAAGAAAGAAAAGAAAGAAAGACAGGCAGACATATTTACTGCTTGGGAAGTTCTTGATGCTTTACTTCACACACATTTCAGTTAGACAAGCTCCAAAAGGAAATTAATCATATAAGAAAAGAACAACTAAAGTTATTTAGAAGATAGGACTTCACTTTTACAAAGACATATCGGAAAAGTTTAAAAGTCTCTTAAATCAGATCAAAGCAGACAGCACACATAATCAGAATTTATAACCAGAAAATGAGGGGAACAGTTGGGATGGACTTTTCCACTAACTCCAGAAAGCATTTGAGAGGGCAAATGTTGAGATAATTCAAGATTTAAGAGAAAAAAGACTTCCTTATACTCAAAGATTTAAAGGGAAGAAATGGCTAGAGTCTTATGTTGATAAAATCTTTTGAAGGGCAAGTTGGAGATGTTAAAGGAATTTTTTAATCATTTTTTTTTCTGGGTTGGGGGAGGTAATTTGGTTTATTTATTTTTAATGGCAGTGCCAGGGATTGAACTCAGGACCTTGTGCATGTTAAACAAGTGCTCTACCACTGAGTTAACCCTACCGCCACCCACCCCACCCCCAGAATGTTTTTAATCTTTGATAACAATGTTATAAAAGACAAGTGCCATATTTTTCTATAAACATTACTTGTTGTTACTACCAAAAAAGTTACTCTGGGCCAAATATATTTAAGTGAAATTTCTAGCTTCCTGTTATGAATTTACAGGGCTGTTGCACAGTCCCTGGGAAAGGTGAACTGAGACAGTGGCCCTGAGCCAAGGTGGCCAGTGCTCCCAGTGGGTAGGCAGCTGCCTGGGAGACAGCTGCAGAGGAGAAAGAGATGAGTCTCCAGCCAATGGTATGAAGACAGGGAGGCTGCCATCCCGACCTGTGCTCCAGCCACCACCGTCATTGCCTAAAGCAGTCTCTGAACCTTACACACCTTCCCTGAACACTAACTGGCCCCAGCTCAAAACCTCCGCTGGCTCCTTGTTTCCTACTGCATTTCATCAAACTCCTTGTTTCCCACTGCATTTCATCAAACTCTCCTGACTTGGCTTTCCTAAAGCCCAACATGACAGACCCCCCACAACCAACGCGCTTTGGGCCCCAGGCACTCTTCCCTTCCTGAAGTCCAGGGGCAGAGGAAGGACTTCACCACTTGAAATGTCCTTTCTTTTACACTTTCAGGGCAAGGGATTTTACACTTCAGGGCAAAGGACACCCCTTTTACTTCTTTTCTATACACCAGAGGTTTTCATATACAGCAGTCCATAAATACTTGATAATTAAATGTCTGTATTATGCATTCTTTATTTCTCTTCTTTTTCACATCCTTATCACTCACTCTTTTTCCAAAATGGCTATAGATTACAAAGAAGCTTCTTGCACAATCTCCATCACTGGCTTCTGCCAATCATGCCGGTATAACAACACTGACACCCATGAACAGAACAGAAAGGACTGGGTCCCTAGGCCAGCAAAGGCCATGGCTGGTATACAATGAACAATTTAGAGTAGTAAAGACTGGAGAGGATTTCAGCGGGGAAAGAAATAAGTGGCTATATTCCTGTTTCAAAAAAGAGAGTAAATAGGCTTCCAGAAAGAAAGAATTATAGAGATATGCTTCAGACAAATGCTTTTTCTACCATAAATTAATTTATTTCCAAACAAGAATAACAGTGGCCCAAAAATACTCCAAAAGTTCTTTAAGTTTCTGTAATAGTATAAAAGAATGACTTATTTAAAGTCTTAGCAATTAAATGATTTCCTTTAGAGTAGCTTCGTTCTTAATTTCTAGCCTTATTTTGAATTGTATAACTCTGCCTCAGTCCCATCAAAAATCTAGGTAATTTACTTGAGTTAATGTTTCATATTCTCTTCAGCTGCTTAGAACAGAAAGGTAATGTCAAAGGCTAAAACAGAACCTGACCAACTGAAATACAGGTGAGTCTACTACTGGCATATTCCTATGGTGCTATTTTCAGCACTGATGTTGACAGATTCAAGAAGT